TGTTGTCAGAAAGGAAAAAACACTATAGTGAAAAAATTAGGCAATCCGATAACAAATCTAAAACAGTCTGGTCAATCGTGAACACTGAACTAGGAAAATCCAAAAACAGGAATAACTCGTTCAATGGAATAAAAACTGACAATGAGTTGGTAACAGAACCAGATGTCGCTAGTAATATATTCAATGATTATTTTCTAACTGCTGCCTCTCGTCTCATAAGTGATAACACTGCAAATAATTTTGACATTAACCTTGTATAAGAATGTCTCGACACGATCTATCTATCAGAAATAACCCAAAATGAAGTTTTAGAAGTGATAAATAGTATGAAGAACAAGTATTCATCAGCGGATGATGAAATAAGTAATGTTTTACTGAAGAATGTGAGTCAATATATATTAGAACCTATAACATATATTCTGAATGAATCATTTAGACAAGGCATATTTCCCACAAAGCTGAAGGTTGCAATTGTTAGACCATTGTTTAAAAATAAAGCTGATCCACTTTTAGTCGAAAATCATCGACCTATCAGTTTACTTTCATCTTTTTCTAAATTATTCGAAATTATCATGTGCAGAAGATTTGTCCCATTTTTGAGTGAAAATAGAGTGATTACAAATAATCAGCATGGATTCCAGAAGGGAAAATCTACCACAACTGCGATTTTTACTTTTATTGAGAGGATCCTTCATCATTTGGACAATGGCTATATTGCTCATGGAGTATTTCTAGATCTGTCGAAAGCTTTTGACTGTGTGAACCATCAAATTCTTCTGAGCAAGCTATATAAAATGGGTATTCGGGGAGTAGCACATGACTGGTTTACATCCTATCTTTCAAACAGAGTACAAACAGTTTGTGTGAGGCATAATACAAAGTCATACCTCTCAGATGCGAAAGCAATTTCTATGGGTGTACCACAGGCGAGACCACAGGGGAGCGTACTTGGTCCGATCTTGTTTATTCTATATGTGAATGATATGTCAAACATTATGGTAGATCCAACTATTACTTTAACTTCATATGCCGATGAGACTTACTTGCTTATAGTAGAAAAAGATTATAACCTATTGTGTCACAAAACTAATAATGCCACAGAAATTATTGCAAATTGGTTTCACAACAATGCTCTTGTTCTGAATACATCCAAAACGAACTGTATTTTTTTCCGACATGGCAGAAATACTTCAGTGTTTCCACACTCTATTAATCTTTATGAGACACAAAAATCATATGTCAGGAAAACAAACTTTCTTGGTATTACCATTGATGAAAACATGGGTTGGTCGGAACATGTGAAACAACTGTGTGGTAGACTTAGTAGAATTTGTTATGCACTCAAAGAACTGAAGAAGGTTGTTGATCCTGAAACTCTCAGAACAGTCTACTTTGGTCAATTTTACTCGGTTATGTCATACGGAATCCTTTTTTGGGGTGGTTCACACGGTCAAGAAGTCTTCACAATTCAGAAAAGAATTATTAGAATTCTGGGAAATTTCAAAGTAGGTGAATCTTGTAGAGGAAAATTCAAACCTTTAAACTTGTTAACTTTACCCGGTATATTTTTTTCAGAATGTGTAAACTTTGTTTTAAAAAATAAGCAGTTTTTCGATGGTGCATTGTCTAGCCATTTATATGATACAAGGCATAAAGATAATCTCACTTCCCCTCTACACAAGACCACTCTTCTTGAAAAAGGCAGTTCTTATAAATGTGTAGAATTTTATAATATGCTTCCTAGCAAAGTTAAGGAGATCAAAAACCTCTCCAATTTCAGACGAACAGTTATTAGACACTTGATCTGCTCTGAACCATATAAAATAGAGGACTTGAATCAAAGAATCTTTGCCCAGACTTAGTTTTAGGTTCAGTTATAACGGTAGCTCGACCATAGGTATATATATTCATATAAGTAACAATGGAATCTGCAATTCATTTCATGATGGTGAGGTAGGTTTTGCCTGGTTTTCCTACAGTTTTGAAAAGCAAATGCGCCACCCCGTTTAATGTAAGTTGCCCCGGCGCACAATCGGATAGACAATCAAATAATTGCAAATTCCATTTTTGCTTTGTAATATTGTTATAGTTGTAAGCACATATCATTCTCACACATTAGATAAGTAGTTAGGACTTGTACTACACAAATTGTAAATTTTGTCTCTGGTATAAATAAAATGCTATTCTATTCTATTCTATTCTATTCTAATATCAGTTTCGGAAAATATTCTGTTACTTTCAACGACTACAGAATGACTATGAATAACCATTATGATAATTTCATATACAGGGTGATTCGAAAGCAAGCGGCATCCTTTCAGGGGCGTATTCCTTGTATAAAAATAAGGGATCTACGCCTCTTTGAATAGGACACCACAGAGAAGATTTTTTTTCTTTCTAACTTCAAAATCCATCACAATAAATTTTCGAAAATTGAATATGAATTCAAAATTTCAAAATTCCATTCAGGAGCGTCACATGCGGGGAAGGGTGAGTGTGAAAACATCTGCTTTTGATTGCCAGATTATTGATTTCGTTGAAAAATTATGAAATTCTAGAGTTTTTCACGTTAATGAGGTACTTCTAGTTCATGTCGATAGAGCGTACCATTTAGGAAAAAATCAACTTAATCACAATAACTTGAATATGAAAAGAAGGGATGTTTTTACACTCACCATCCCCCCCATTAGACGCCCCTGAATGAAATTTTGATATTTTGAATTCAGAGTCTGAGTTGCCATCAAATGTTTATATGCCGTACACCAATTCCTGAAAATTTCTTGTGGAGGATTTCAAAATTATAGAGGAAACATCGTCTTTGATGTGTCCTATTAGAAAAAGCAGCATTTTCGGACCTTCATAAACACGAAATTATAGTCCTATTTTCATGCAAGGAATACGCCCCTGAAAGAATACCGCTCACTTTTGAATCACCCTGTATATACGTTTGTCGAATGTGCTTTTTGTTATCGATAGAGTTGTTAAGATATGAGTAACAGCTTCATTTCGATTGAAATTGAGGCAAATGATTCGTTACGCAATTTACCATTGAACAAATACAAGAATAATTGTAACTTGTACCTTCTCATGCAGTTAGCTTCAAGAAACGGGAGATGTGTTGGATATCTGGTGTGTCAACACAATATTTGAACTATCCTGAAGGTATTATAGTGTAGTCGTGGTACAAGTATAGTACTTTTCTAGAGTTTCGTACGAAAGCGTAGAACAGACATGAGATATGTTTTTCTCAATTTCGAGTTATACCTCGAAATTAGTTTAATTTCGTGTTATAACTCGAAATCAGTGCAAATTCCGTGTTACATCTCGAAATTAGCTTAATTTCGAGTTATTACTGGAAATTAGTGTTAATTTCGTGTTACAACTCGAAATTAGCTTAATTTCGAGTAATAACTGGGAATCAGTGCTAATTCCGTATTACATTTCGAAATAAGCTTAATTCCGAGTTATAACTCGAAATTAGTACTGATTTCGTGTTACAACTCGAAATTAGGCTTTCCTTGAGTTGTAACACGAAATAAGGGCTTCTGTTCAATAAACTCTTCAATCCGAGCTATATGTCATAGTTATTCCTTCTTCTGTACAAATTCATCATCCTCAATTTTCGTCTGAGATGACGATCACTAATAAAAATATCATGATTCAAGGCCAAATAAAAAACAATTTCTTTTTGTTGTAGCCCCAATGAGAAATAAAATGAAATTATCTCTTTCATTGTATACTACACTGTTATGTACTATACCGAGATTGATACGACTACTTCTTGTGAAAATCTGACTCATTGAGAGCTTGGTTTCGTACCACAACTCAAGAAAAGCCTGATTTCGAGTTTTTTTTGCAATTGCATTACCTCGTTTGTCCCAGCACTGGGACCAAACGCCCCATAAGTCGAAACTTGTGCGGGGTTAGGTAAGCAGACAAACACAAACGGAAATAAGTACTAATTTCGTGCTACAACTCGAAATTAGCTCAACATCTAGTTATAACTCGAAAGGCGGCTCGGTGGTCGAGAGCGTGAAGGCGCTGAGTTCGTATGAGGACTCCCACCGAGACATAGGTTCGAATCCTAGTTAGGCCATGGATGTTTGTGTTTGTCTGCTTACCTATAACCCCGCACAAGTTTCGACTTATTGGGCGTTTGGTCCCAGTGCTGGGACCAACAAGGTGATGCAATTGCAAAAAAACTCGAAATATAAGGCTTTTCTTGAGTTGTGGTACGAAACCAAGCTCTCAATTAGTCAGATTTTCACAAGAAGTAGTCGTATCAATCTCGGTATAGTACCTAACAGTGTAGTATAAATGGAAGAGATAATTTCATTTTATTTCTCATTGGGGCCACAACAAATAGAAATTGTTTCCTGTTTAGCCTCGAATCATGATATTTTTATTAGTGATCGTCATCTCAGACGAAAATTGAGGATGATGAATTTGTACAGAAGAAAAAATAACTATGACATAGCTCGGATTGAAGAGTTTATTGAACAGAAGCCCTTATTTCGTGTTACAACTCAAGGAAAGACTAATTTCGAGTTGTAATACGAAATTAACACTAATTTCGAGTTATAACTCGAAATTAAGCTAATTTCGAGTTGTTACACGAAATTAGCACTATTTTCGAGTTATAACTCGAAATTAAGAAAAAAAATATCTCATGTCCGTTCTACGCTTTCGTAGTTTCGTGCGTTAAAATATGCGTTGTTTTTCAATATGCTATTTGCTTTGAAGTTTTTTCCAGCACACATTATTCCAAGTACTGACCAAAAAGAAAGTCATACCCATAGCACAATGAATTCATCAAATGATAAGCTAGTTTCATGAGAGTAGGAATTCTCATTTTTGCATCTCATTCTAGAAAAATGAGAGATTCCAGAGTAATATGAAATGATTCCAATATGTTTTATTACAAACTGTCACTTTTTCCATAACCTAAAAAATACAGCAGAAACTTAACACAATGCTCACTGGCTTATGATGGTCGAACTTCAAGTTTTGGTTTTGTGGACTTCTTTTCTTTCTTCTGTGTTCAACCAGGATACCCTATCTGTAACAAGTTTCTTCAATCATTATACTGCATCATAAATTGAGAGCTGGATAAGTACTGGAATAAACAAATGAAGAACATCTACCGATAATGCATTTTTCCATTAGACTTGACACATTTGTAAAAAAAAAACTTTCACCTTTTGTAAGATATTTTCATGTAGAATGATTATGTCTTATGTTCAGTTTCGAATTTATGGGTACTTACCCAGCTCTTAATTGCCACAGTCTCTTTATCCAGACGATTTAAGTAATTGTTGCTCTTGACATATTCGATAAACGAGGCAACGCTTCTGGAAAATATATTAACAATATCAGAATAATAACAATGGATTCTTTCATCGTTTGAAGCGCACGAAAGAACTTCGTGCGTGCCTAGGAAGGATGAGGGAGATGAGGTAGGTATCAGATTTCTTTTTTTGAAATTCTGGAAGAGCTTTGTTGTTATCCACAGGGTTTATCTAAATAACACCGAGAAGATTCAAGGGATTATTCCTTGTGATATTTCAGGAAATAGAGTTCATTTGAACATGTGCCGTGACTTGCTTCGTTTTCGAGATACAGGTTACTAGCATTTCCATGAAATAGTTATTCATGATATAAGTGCTAAAAGTGATATTTCATTTCGAGCAAAAGAAAAAACAATTTTAGCACATATATCATACACTATTTTTTCTACAAACGCCAATCAAAGTCCAGATTAACGCATAACTATTTCACATTACTTATTGATTGATTAAATAACAGCCTCGAGATTATCAGTTTTGAATCCAATTCAATCTAATCTATTCATGAAACGAGTTACTAAGGTAAACAGAAACTGAATTTGTTGATTCATCTTTCTTGACAACTAACGTCAATAAATCACGAATAATTCTTTCTCGTTTCTTCGTTCCTCGATGAAAAGTGCCCAAGAAAATGAATTTCTTCCGCCGCAAATTGAAGAAGCTGCCAATAAAGCTGTTTTTGAATTATTGCCTAGTAAGTCAAAGCGACAGTACGAGTTTTCATACGAACGTTTCTTGAAATGGTGTGATCAGAAAAATGTCAGTGGAAAGGAGGCCAGTGAAAAAGTGATTCTTGCACACTTTGAAGAAAAGTCCCAAATATGGAAATCGTCAACGCTTTGGTCGAATTACTCTATGTTAAAGTTGATGATGAACATAAATGATCATGACATAAGCAGATATCACAAGCTTGTGGCTTTTTTGAAGCGGAAGGGTGAAGGATATCGACCGAAAAAGTCAAAAGTATTGACAAGAGAACAAAAAATAGACAAATTTCTCGCATAAGCCTCAGATGAAATATATCTAATGCAGGAAGTTGCTGCAATTTTTGGTGTTTTTGTAGCCTGTCGTCGAGAAGAACTGTGCGATTTGACATTATAATATCGAGGATTCCGGAACTTCACTAGTTGTGCATATACCAGACACAAAAACTAATGTGCAACGCACCTTTGTTGTAAGTGGTACATTGTATCTGACCCACTGAGCAAGGAACATCCCGGGGATGTTTGGTAACGTTAATTTCTTGTACCTTTGGTGACCTTTTTGAGATTACATCTTTTATAAGTGATAATAACATATTTCTGGGACGTTTTAATTCGTCCCTTATTTGGGCTGACTCTGCTACATCCCCAGATACACGTCGCTGTTTCGTAACAGTAAACTGACCTATGCACGTCTATGTGATCTTATTTGAGTCAATATTCCAACGCCTTCTCCAAAGTATTCTTATTTCATCCACAGAACATTTTATGTGACGTACTTTTATCATTTTCCGTGGGACTATTATCACGAACTTGATTTGAATCAGACACGTATCTTTCTCACTTCGTGCTATTTTGCTAATATCCGCCATCTTGAGAGATGATGCTGTCGTGGTTATGACGGACGCCGGCGTGGTTTGTGTTGTTTAGTGTTTGTGTCTCACAATAAAGTGTGAATTTTGACTTTTGAGGTAGAGAAATAGTCAAGAAAATCAAGTGAAAGTGCGTTTTTTGGAAAACATGGTGAGATAGGTGAGTTGAATTACCAAAATCATAATTTTCTGTTTATGTATCAGCACACAGTTGTCTGATTCATAATGGCTTCAGTCAGAATAATTTATTGTTGGGTATCTTCCTCAGTGAATATATAATTATGTGATGAATATAACTACAAGTCCTCTATTATTGTTCCTCTCTTAGTTTTAAATGAACTCAGTAATATTATTTGATTTTTGGGGTTAGGTCATTTGCAATATAGAAAAATGTATCACCAAATAGCTGTATAGGTATATCAGTGACCAACAAGATCCCTCAAAATAGTTTGATTCATGTCATTTACGGAAGCAACTTTCATTGGAATATATCAATGTCTTCAAGTACTACATTGTTTACAGGTCAGTACTCATTATGTTTCCTCGGAACCTGATGGATACCTACATTACTAGAACATGCGTGAGCTCTGGACAAACCTACCCTCTGACCTACTTTAGTAGAAATGATGGATTACACATCTGCTGTTTGCCTGGGGAGTTTAGGTATGAAAAAGTGGGATGCATATAGTAGGTAGTGTAAATTTCCTACTTAGGTATGGTATATATTTCAGAATCCAAGTATCTGGGATTTCATTCAATCAAAAATAGAGACATTTGGGGGACACAAAAATCAGTAAGTCCTTTATTCTTGAAAGGCGTATGAAAAAATGATGACAACATGGAAATCAACTCTTACATTGGGCTAGAACACTCTAAAATCCACCCACTGCCACAGAGGATCGAGAATCAAGAACACACCATCAGGAAAGGAACTAATCGAGGCAGAATCGAGGTAGGATGATATAAATATTTGATGCTGATATTGTGTATTACAATTGTTTGGTGTTTCAGGTGCATTTCATGAAATCCTCAGCCTTGAAATAGATTCGCCCATAGAATCATTAAACTGAACTAACTGAAGTGACATACGTGGAAGGATAATTAGTCAATCAAATATCCATTTATTTTCAATTGTAGTTCTAACTTACATTCATTGATTCAATACATTTCTGAATTTATTTTTTTCCTGTGATAAGTAGGTAGTTAGCAATGGAGCTGACTATAGTAAATATCAGGGTGATCCAACATAAATGTTCCCTCTTGTAAATTTGGTCATTTCTGGACCGATCGCAGAATTCAAAAACTATTTGGTATATTTTCAGCCAGAAAATATATACTGGGTGTTTCAAAATATATGGGACGCACATCAAGATGTGATAGGGCAGCTCAAAACAATAATTAATGATCCTTCAGAGAATTGACCAGAACTCTTTTGTTTCCAAGTTGTTAAAAATTCCTACCATTTTTTATTTCTTTCGATATATTTGAGATGATTGAACCAAGTTTGCTTCATTATACCTATTTATCGTTCTCTGTAGTAGGAGAAATGAGAGGACGCGTCCCACATATTATGAAAAACCCAGTGTGATGAAATCCAGCTATATGTGATTATTAGAATGAAGAGATTTTGTATTTCGTGTAAATTTTTTAATTATAAATCGCAAAGCGCTTTCGGCTAAAAAGCCATCATCAGTGCTATACCTGCAAGTAAGTAACATTTGTGAAATTTCAAAAACAAATCTAAAAAGGTAGATTACTTACTCGTCAAGTATTTACAAAAAGGTCCAAAAATTAGTGATCACAAACATCATTATGGTACAAACGGGATTATGAACAGACATACATTTAACAAAAATGTTCCCTAAAGGGTTATTGTAAAATTTTTTTTCAAAAATACATGTTGAGATAGTTTTGTTCAAGTCCAGAAATAGCACGAGGGACCTTAACCTTATTTATTCTGGAAAATGTTTGATAATTTTTAACCTTAGTAAAATGTTGACAATGACTGAGTGTCAATGTCTATGACTTAGTTAACATGTGTATGAAGTAGACAAGTGACATAATGGAAAAAGCGCTTGGGAAAGAATTGACAAGGTGAGCAGAAAAGCTGTCTGAAAATTTTGAAACATTCTGAAAGGTAAAATAAGATGAAGTGGACTTCAATCCAGGCTAAAGAGTAACTGGACTTCCAGTTTGGACACTAGGACTCTTAAGTCTTGATTGGAAACTCTTTTCTCTCAATTTTACTAAAAAAAAGGTTTACTCTTTAGCCTGGATTGAAGTCCACTTCATCTTATTTTACCTTTCAGAATGTTTCAAAATTTTCAGACAGCTTTTCTGCTCACCTTGTCAATTCTTTCCCAAGCGCTTTTTCCATTATGTCACTTGTCTACTTCATAAACATGTTAACTAAGTCATAGACATTGACACTCAGTCATTGTCAACATTTTACTAAGGTTAAAAATTATCAAACATTTTCCAGAATAAATAAGGTTAAGGTCCCTCGTGCTATTTCTGGACTTGAACAAAACTATCTCAACATGTATTTTTGAAAAAAAATTTTACAATAACCCTTTAGGGAACATTTTTGTTAAATGTATGTCTGTTCATAATCCCGTTTGTACCATAATGATGTTTGTGATCACTAATTTTTGGACCTTTTTGTAAATACTTGACGAGTAAGTAATCTACCTTTTTAGATTTGTTTTTGAAATTTCACAAATGTTACTTACTTGCAGGTATAGCACTGATGATGGCTTTTTAGCCGAAAGCGCTTTGCGATTTATAATTAAAAAATTTACACGAAATACAAAATCTCTTCATTCTATTGATCAGTTACGTGTATGCAGCTAGTAAAAATCTTCACCATATGTGATTATACCAGTAATAGTTTTCAGAATTCACGAAAACGTTACAACGTATCTTGGTTACAATGAAATAACGTTAATAGTATGAGTTTTTGCACAGTGGGGAACTACTACAAAAAGTACATAGCCCTTCGTCCAAAGAATATTAATCATTCTAGAGTTTTCATAAAATTTAGTAAGATGCCTGCCAAAATTGCCGAATTTCTTAATCTGCCTGATTCCCATTTATATACTGGACATTGTTTCCGACGTTCCTCAGCAAGTTTGTTGGTGGACTCTGGTGCTAGTCTTACTACAATTGAAAGACATGGTGGATGGAAGTCCAGTACAGTAGCAGAGGGTTATATAGAAGACTCGCTTCAAAGGAAACAGAACATTGCAGATCAAATTTTGTCGAAAACTTCGGCAGATAATATTGCTCTCTGCTGCACGATGATAAATTCTGTGCTAAAAGTGATTTACCTGTGTCATAAACTGACATTTCAGACACTGACAACATGCGTCAAAAATTATACTTTCACTGACGTTTGTAGAAAAAATCTTTTTTTCTCAATTGTCTCCTCTTCAATCTCAATAAAACGTTGTGATTTTGTTGATAGTAATGTGGAGCTTTTTCTGGTGTAATTAGATTCGGAATAATATTGCCAAAGGCGTCACAGTAGGTAAATTTATCGATATTTATGGTGAATTTCATTGTAAACCACCGGTTTTCCTGAGTTCCATATTTTAATTAGATTGAACTATTGAAATTACAACTTTTTCATTCTTTGTGTGATTTTTGTATCTGGCTTTGTTCTTTAGATAACAATAAAAATTCATTACGACTCCAAATTTTTATGTTGGTGTTTTCAAGACTGCCATTGAGATAACTCAATAACCCCAATTAGAATCATTCTGAAATTTTGGCGCCTTCTCAGTCTCCATCCATACTGAATGTTGTCACCATAGAAGCTAATACAAGAGGGTAATAAATAAACAATTGATATACTTCCAACTTCAATATCCTGTATCTCAAAAACGGAGCAGGCCTTATCTGTGCTTTGTATATCATGAATGGCTGTTGAGGTGTGAAGTGGATTTTTGCAAGGAATAAAATTACGAGTTAACGTAGAGCGGCTTCATTTTCTTGTGAGAAAGTATTGCTGATGGATAAACCAAGCATAGGTATAGTGGACTTGGTCGGAATAATGCTACCAGACATTGATTTATCATTCTTTGTAGATCAGTTCAGGTGTGAAGTGGATTTTTTCAAGTAGGTTAGGTTAGGTTAGGTTCCATGTGAGTGGGGCGAACACCTCCCCTCCACTGCGACCCCAGATGGGTCTATTGTGGCTCACCCCTAGAGGTTACAGTTCACCGTACAATCCACATCTTTTTACAGAGTTCATGGTTGAATTGGGTGAGATTTGTCTGAAATCGATAGGTTCTAGGTTGGTAAAGCCAAATGTGTCGAACCTTAGTCTTTCTAAGCTAGAGCATGAACATAATATGTGTTCAGCCGTTTCGTCTTCCACACAACAGAACCGACAGTCCGTTTGTTGGTTCAGACCCATCCTTCCCAGGTGGTATCTTAGACGACAGTGTCCCGTAAGCAGTCCAGTCAGAATTCGTTGGTTACCCCTACTCCATTCTAGGATCTGCCTGGTTATTTTTTCCGATGGTTTAGGCAGGAACGCCTTCGAATGGGTTAATCCTGGTAATTCGGACCAGTACGTGAGTGTTTTTCCCTCCGCCCAGCCCGAGATAGTTGTTTTCGCCGCACTTGCGGTGACCCCAAAATATGGTTCTGGTCCTATGAACACAGATTTGGTTCCCTGTTTGACGAGGATGTCGGCTTTCTCGTTACCCTCCACCCCCTGGTGTCCAGGCACCCACAGCAAAGTGACTCTGTTGTTAGCACCCAGGCTTTCTAGGGATTCAATGCAGCTCCATACAAGCTTGGAATTTATCTTGCTGGAGCTCAGTGCTTTAAGAGCAGCCTGACTGTCTGATACAATACTGATATTTTTGTTTACTAGAGGTTTATTCGACAACTCTCTAGCACACAATGCAATTGCGAATACCTCCGCCTGAAAGATTGTAGCATATTTGCCGAGATTGACGGAAATTTCCGTCTTCGGTTTTCTGCTGAAAGTAATGAGAATCCGAGTTTTTGTGAAGGAATTTCTGCGATCGATCTGACATGATTTGCCTATGAGTGAGTATTCCTGATGAAGATACCAAACCTAGATATAGTGAAATCGGTCAGAATGAAGATACCAGACATTGCTATATCAGGCATACTGAGTTCAGCCTTTTAAAAGAAGAGACAGGCTTGAGATTTAGTGGCATTGGATTCAACCAGGTTCTCAGTTCCCCAGGCTGTAATTTCAGCAAGACACTCATTGGCAGCGTAAGCCTACCTCATTCGGGAGTTCTTAGTTTCCTGGAAAAAATGGGAATTCTGGAGAAGAACGCAGTATGGGGAGTACTATCATCTACAAAACTGTGGATTGGGCAAGTGGATACTTTTCAACAGATCATTGATATGAATTAGAAACAATGTTGGTGCGAGGAAAAAACCTAGTTTACTTATTTTTGATCCGGTTTGTGTGGTTTATTTCTTGGGAAAATGACTAACAATTTATATTAATATATCCTTTCAGCTTCAGTAATTTTCTTTGGGTTCAACTCCAGAATTTTACTTTATTCTCACAGCCAGATTAGCAGATACTTCAGTCAGTACAGTCATAGTACATTTGGAGAATGATATGAACAGTTCAACTAGAGGTTGAGCCTTTGCTCACCTAGTTGATTTGACCTGACTATAGTGATTGACTAGCGATCGATTAATTCTTTTTTAATGAATCATGAACAATAAAAATGCAGTAGAGATAGGTTCTTTGGGAACTTGTTTTTCTATTATAATGTATATCGAACACATTCTTCATATATGAAGAAGTGTCTGATGCAGATTCAATATTTCTATAATCCTCATAAAAATATAATTTCATACCTGACCAATCAAAGATGCCATCTTCATTGTAACCTTTCTTGACGAATAAATCTTTGAACAACTTCCGTAGATAATCGTAGTCAGGTGTTTCCGCGAATTCCAGTTTTCGGACGTATTTCAAGTAAGTTGCCCATTCTTCTGGTTGTCCTTCGCATAAAGATTCGATTGTAGTGCTCCTTTTCGTCTCTCCGATTTTCTGATATCTCTCCTGAATCAGGTAGATATGTAAATTACGAACAACGGAAATGAATTCTGTATCTCCTGATTATTACTCAAAGGAACATTGTCTTTTGTGAGAGGAAAAATAATGGATAATAACCCTAAATTGAAGAAAATGATGGTACAGGAAGAAGCACTCAATAAATTTACTTGTTATATATGTCAGAGTTAATGACTGTAATTCAATTTCTAATCATATTCTTTCATGTTACGTATAAAAATATCGCCAAGGACTAATTACCATAACTAGAGACGTTTTATTGGGAGTACTTCAATTAACTTCATTGGACTTCCTGTAATGACAATTAATGTCTAAACCTATGATAATTATCGCAGACGAGTGAATTTTAATCATATCACCATTACTTGTTATCGAATTACCATCATAGGAAAATTTTTCCGACACATTCACACCCCCTCGTCAGTTATCAGACTTAGGTCGGCCTAGTCGGTCGGTAAACTCGTGCTTCGTGCATTTCCTTCGTTAAATACGGTTGATAGTTATGATTCTGAGTTGTGATCGAGTGAGGTTTTGAGAAACTGATAGTTAGAGGTGTGCAAAAACTTGGATTGACCGAGACATTTAGGAGTGATATTTTGATTCGAAATGTTTGAGTTATTTAATTTTCAACCACTTATCTTAACGTAAGGCATATTTAAATTTTTTTGTTCGTCGATGAACTTGTTTTTCCTAGATTTCAATTGTCTCATTTCCTACCATCTACAGAGTCTAGTTCAGGGCAGAAATTTTTCAAACATCAATGTTTGAAAAATTTCACTATTTCAATATATTCATTTCCGATTATTTTTTTCCTCATGATGAACTTCCCACTGAATATAAGCTTCGGAAATTGAATGTGCCAAATAGATTTTTTTCATTCTGGACAATGATTTGGTGAAAAAATATTCGATTATCAACTTGAAACAACTAGGGTAATTAATCATTCCAATACAGAGGTTTCATGTCAAAAGATCTATTTTTCTATTCATTCCATGTGATCATTTGATGAAGAATTATTTGAATATCGATCTCACCTATACCTAGCGTATAGGCAAAGATAAATTGGTGCAACAAAAATATAAATGCTGCCATGAAGTTGGAGAAGGACTGCCCTGAACTAAACTCTGTCGATGGTAGAAAATGAGAAAATTGAACATTAGAAAAAACAAGTTTAATAATAAACAAACAAAATTAAATATGCCTCACGTTAAGATGAGTGGTTGAAAATTGAATAACTCCAACATTTCAAATCAAAATATCACTTCTAAATGTCTTGGTCACTCCCAGTTTTTGCACACTTCTAACCATCAGTTTTTCAAAACCTCACTCGATCACAACTCAGAATCATAACTATCAACCGTAGAGAATTACATCCACATTAAAATCTCTCGAAATACTCTTGGAAACGAAGTAGAGGAAATAATATGTTGATAATAAACTATTTTTCACCCATTGAAGAACTTTCAATTGAACGTGTGGTGTTTGATGCTTCAGCAAAAACATCGGAAGCTACCTCTTTGAATTATACGTTGTGAACAGCCCCTAAGCTGAAGAATAATCTCGTTTACATTTGGCTCACATTATTTAGTATCAGCTCTGTAGCACTCATAGCTGATGTTCGCGAGATATATTGGCAGATATTGGTGGCTGATGATGATAAGACATATCAGCGCATTCTCTGGCGTATTTTTATTGATCAGCCTCTTGAGGAATACATACTGAACACCGTCATAGCGCCATTTCTAGCAATTAGAACATTTTTGCAGCTTGCAGCATCTTTTCTTGCAGTTGAAACTGTTGAGACTTGTTCTTATGTTGACGACAATGTGGAAAGCTGCAATTCTCTCGGAGATGCCTTGGTTCCCAAATCTCATATGGAGAGATTCTACTATGAAGGTTTGAGGATTCTCTATTCAGTATCTCCCCTCAGAAAGTACAATGTACAAAAGAAATATACTCTCCGACTTGACTAGCATCTTCGATCCCTTGGGATTCCTCAGCCCTTTGACCTTATTCGCCAAAAGACTCATTCAGCATTTATAGATATGCGATATCGACTGAGACGATCAGCTCCCACAAGACGTTATCCACGCTTGGGAGACATTTGAAGCTGTTCTATCTCTTTTGTCTACAATTCGCGTTTATCGTCACCTCTTTCATCCATAACTCAGCAGCTGCACTCTAAATGGGTTTTCTGATGCGAGTGAAAGGAGATATTCCACAGTAATTCATTCTTGGTATGAAGAAGATGGTGTAGTCGTTGTTCGGTTGCAGCTCTGTTAAAAAACACTCCTTCCTGATTCATTGCATTCGTTCTGAACTCATTCAATCAACGAATTCATATCAAAAAAATTTTGGGTTGGTCTTACTCTTCCACTGCTCTTGGTTGGATGCGTTCATCATCTCACAGATAGCAGACGTTTATAAGTAACCAAGTAAGTTATATGCAAGGAAGATCACCTCCAAATGTATGGCACTATGTGCCCTTAGAAGATAATCCCGCTGATTGCTTCTCTAGAGGATTACTTCCGTCCCAGCTAGTTGACCATTCGTTATGGTGAGCGGGTCCAATTTGGCTCTCCCGATCATCTCAATTTTGGCCATATGCCTTTTTTCATCTAGTCCTCAGTCACCAGGCTCTCTATGGCGAAAGAAATATACCCGATCTGGTACTGAAAGAGGATAATATCCTTCATGAACTGTTGGATAATCATTGATCTCTATACCAAAAATTCAACGAATTCTGTCATATGTTCTTCGATTCAGTAGTAATACTAGGTAAATCAGATCTCAGTGCACTCTTTTTCATCTCACTGCGCGTGAAACCCATCAAGCTCTGTTAAAACCTGTGAATTATGTTCAATCCCAAGAATTCTCTCAGGAAATCATTGATTCAGAGAACAAATGGCCTCTTCGCAAATCATTGCTCAAGTTCCATCTTTTTGTCGACCAAGCTGGTCTCTTAGTGTCCTGGTCCTATCTAAGACAAGAAACATCTACTTCCTTCACCTATTTGCCATCGATTCACATATATCTTCGTTGAATACTCATAAACAATACCTCCACCCTGGTTTGCAATTCCTACATTATCTTCTTCTTCAGAAATTCCTGATTTCGTCAGCTGAATGGATCATTCGTAGATGTATATCTGAGTGTCTTACCTATTGTCATAACTTCCCGCTCCAAGAGTGACCAAATTGGAACCCCTCTCTCGCGTTAGCTTAGATTTCGAAGGTCCTTATACAATTCCTTCAGGAAGATATCGTGGCTTTGAATTGCAAGAATCTCATATTTGTTCATTTCCTATGCTCTACGACAAAAGCACTGCATATTGAAATAGCATCTGATCTAACTACTGATACCTTCCTCGGTGCGTTGAGACGGTTTATATTCCGGCGCAATCAAATATCATGCATATTTAGTGACAATGCTACCAACCTTGTTGGTGCTTCTCCAATTCTCATGCACTTGATGGAAAATGCCCCATCTCTGTAAGGTCATCGGCGACAAAATCCTTACGTATCAGGAGTTCAATACATCGCTCATTCAAGTAGAGGCTGTTGTGAAGTCGAGACCAATATATTCAACCAGCACTGATTCAAACTATTTTTCAGCTCTCACTTCCGGGTCACTTCTCGACCTAGGAGCCATTCAACTTACCTCCAGATTATGTTCTTTCTCATTCATCATTGAATCGCCTGTCTCGCAGATAACAAACAAAAAAGAAAAATAAAGGAATCCGCTCGCATTCTTCTAAACGGAGACAATAGCATTGCTTCCTGTTCAGTTGATATTGATAGAACATGGTATTCACTACTGAAAACTGAACATGAAAATGGTAGATTCAAGATCAATTAATGAAAACATCCTGTAACTCATTTGTAGACTAAAATCACTCATTCATATGCCAACATCAGTATGACACTGAAAAGTGTCAAACTATATACGCAGCACAACTTTCAAAGAAAAATAATTTGCATTCACATGTTGAGAACGGGAGCAGAATCGGTCCCGAAACGTCCAAAGATAAGTACAAATTCGATATTTTTTCAATATATCTATATTTCTTTCCTTCAAAATTTTTTTCAAACAAATTGTCACTGACAAACTACTGGATTTTTCTTTTAGACTCCCTGATAGAAAAATTTGTTAAACGCAGTGACATTTTGGGGCAAATCATCTGATTTGTCCCTCTACGAATATATTGAAATAATACGAATACTTTTATTTTATAGAAACGAGGAGAGAAAATTCCAAAGAACCAAGTAAAATGAAAGATGGTTCAGATACTCCATCAAGTCATTAAAATTCGATTTGATTATGTGATTTGATCTCAAAAAATGGCAAACTTGGTGGTTGTTTAGTAATTTTCGTAGCCACGAAGTTGAATAGAAGATAAAAACGTAATGTAGTTTTTTTTTCTGAGATGGTGTTATTGTCTCATTTCTCGGAACTACGGCACCAAGATCAACAGAAGTCACCTTTTGATCTGGGAAAGAAGTATTTATTATTTTTTCGGTAGAAAAAGAGTAATTGCATGAAGAGTGACATTTTGTAACCTGTCAACAGATATGAAATATCGAACTTTATTCCAGAAAGAAACACGTTATATCCAGACGTTTCAGTTCCAACAATTCAATACATTGTGTTGAACTAAAACCACTATCAAACGTTGATACTCTCAAGCAAAAACATGCCATTTTATTTCAACGGAACGACAACTTCACAATTTACGTTAGAATAGCTGCCAGGAAAAACCTGTTTTTAACGTTGAAATAGTATATTACACACCGTGGTGGAAAGTGATTCATTCATGTCGTGAGATTAGTTAGTTAACCGAGACCCAAAGCGTCGAGGTTAGGTATAATTTTGAGACAGGAATGAAATTTCCTACCGAGGTTTGTATACTATTTCATTTACAACCATCATATTTCGATCAAAATTATTAAATCTATGTTTCGTTCTGAACATACCTGATTTATAACATG